AGTGTCGTCAATTTATCTTGATAACATTTTAAACTGTCATAATTTCTTAATTTTGAAAGTTATTTAAATAAACAAAAAAATATACTTAGGGTTGCTTTTCAAGTTTTAGAAAGGATGGACAAAAAACAAAAGACTAATATATTTTGACAGTTATGGGCAAAATAGCATTTTTTTTAAATGGAACACCCAGTAAATTTTTAGTTTGTTTGATGATATGTTTCATTCTGATTGCAATATACATAATATAATATAATTGAATATAATTCACTTTATATTTACATGCAGAAATGTTTTATTAATTCTAACTGAAAATATTGATTACCTACACAGTTTACCTGCAATGCAAAGGTAGGTAGGTAGACAGAATTTTCTATTAGAATACGTAAAACATTTCTGCATGTAAATATGGAGTAAATTATATTCAATTGTATTGTATTGTATATATTGCAATCAGAATAAAACATATCAAACAAATTGAAAATTTACCGGATGTTTTTATTTATTTGAATAACTTCAAAAATGAAGACATTTTGACAGTTTGAAATGTTATCAAGATAAAATAACCACCCTGTACATATGAATTTGCCACATTACAATACAAAAAAAAAAAACATTGAAACAATAGTAATACTAAATAATAAAAAAACAATAAATGCTTAAAACTAAACCCCTAAAAAGTACCTGTACCAGGTTATCACAAACAATTAGGACATAACCAGAAAGTGTCTGGTACTTCTTGCAAATTAAGGCAATCCATGTGATACCATTTGACATCACAGTCACTGTCACCACATTCTATCATGGGTCTGCCATCGTCAATCATCTTACAGATGCACCAGGTTTCAAATGGCAATGAAGTTTTTGTGTAAAATCTCCCAAGAAGCTCTGGCATGATGACCCTTTTGTGGAATTCCAAACTTTTCGCACATTCACTCCACCAAAAATCTTCATTAAATAAGATTCTTTGGACAAACATTTCCGTTGGGGACCATACTACAAAATCGCAATATGAAGTTTTGCTTAAAGCCATCTGCTGCTGCATTTGATAGAAATATGCATGTTTGTTGCTAATCCGTAAGTTCCCCTCTACCACTTCTAAACAAGTTCCCTTTTTCATCGCAAATTCCTCCAAGGTCAGGTTTTTGAGGAGAAATGGGCATTTTACCTCAATGCAACCACGACCACAACAACTACATTCAACTATGCCATCTGGCGAAGCTCCAAACTGGGGATATTGTTCAGACAGAATCAGTCCTACTTCTGAAATTATAATATCAGTATGGTCCTGATTTATATAATTGAGATAGGCCTGCAATGCCACTTTTTCTTTCAGCTTTCCCCAATCAGTTGCTTTGGACCTAAATTGAAATTTCAGGGGGTAGCAAATGGATTTCACTAATGATATTGATGGTTTTTCAATTTTGGTACAGCATGCTTGTTTGAATTTTGATGCAGTAATCCTGCCTGTTCTCTGCAAAAACCACTCATTCGATTTGCTCTGGCTTCTTGTGGCAGTTTCAATCAAATCACACTCTTCGCTGGATACAGAAACAACTAATTTATTTGCTTCATGAAGAAGTTCCTCATGATTATAAGCTTCATATTTATGTTGATACACTTGTGTATAGGGATTATTAGATATTTTAATTTCGGTTTTCATTGATTCAGCGATTGCAGTAGCAAAGGGCTCTACCACTCTCATTAGCACCGATGATGAACCAGCTTCTTCGATATCTTTTAATACATCAACAAGTGATACCTTAGCAGGACTTGCCAATGACAAGGAAGTAATTTTCCTCCCAAAATCAATTTGTTTCACCTGTTTGTACTCCACTTGTTTAACTTTTGTCGGAATGTTCCAGCCTGATGCCACATCTGTACATGATGCTCCCTCTGTTGAAGTTGCAATACTCTCAACTGCAAAAAGTAGGGCTCCTACATGGCTGCACACTTCACCTGCTCCAGCCATACAAGTACAGTGGGCTGATACAATATCGCCTTCACCTTTACAAATCGCCCAACATTGCAATGGAGGACTATTCATCCGTTGTGAATGCTTGACCTAAAAAATCAAGAAATTATAGAAATGCAGGAAAGGGTCATGACATGGTATGAGTGACTTACTTTCGCTCTGATAATTACATGATCAGCAACTTTGAGGCTTCCACAGTGGCTAACAAATCCTGCCTTGAAATATTTGAAGGCACTCAGGCTTTTATATGCTTTTAATTGCTGTGAAGTATAATAGCTTGTTGTAAGCAGTAAATAACTGATTATGTCCATGTTTGTAATCTTTGGAAACTCCCCTGGGGAAGTATTAAACTCTGCATCACACAAACTGAAAGGATCCATATTATTTACAATAGAAATTTTCTGCTTGTAGCGAATCGCAATTTCTGGGTTTTCAGCTTCCAACTTCATCAGATAATCACTCATTTTAGACTTTCAAGTTTATACTTTAAACAAAAAAAATCTACACACTTCAAAAACGTTTCAGCACTCCACAAAATTTCTCAAAAAACAAAGGAAAATACACAATGATAAATGGGCGTTGGTCTTTGTTTACGGTACAAGGATTTGACAGATAACTTTTAGGTTATGTACTGAATCGGCCTATTAGCAAAAAGGAAATTTCCAAAAAATTAAATTGATGGCGTTTTATTTTATTTTTTACGAAAATGTTTGTGGGGTTGGATAGAAATTGGTATTACAAATGAATGGAGAAAAGATTGATATTTAGGAAACAAATAAAAATTTTGTTATGCACCCGAGGGGCAAACCACTCCTCTAAAAAATGTACATGTATTGCGGAAATCCTATGATTTCTTGGCAATCATTGCGATTTGCAGGGCTGCCATGAGAATTTAACAGATTTCGAAGATTGCCATGAAAATCCAAATGATTTCCAAGATTACGGGACTGCAAAATGATTATTGCAGGACTGCGGAAGGGATTGCGAAAAAAATACTTGCGATTGCGCGATTGCCACATTGATTTCGATTGATTTCGGAGGCTGCGACAAGAAATTTAGACACGCCCCTATGACCGCATTCACAAGATTTCCGCGACTGCGAACATGATTTTCGCGACTGCGAACATGATTTCCGCGACTGCGAACATGATTCCTGCGAATGCGAACAAGAATGCGGGATTTCGGACTATTTTGGCGACTTTCTAACGAAGACTGCAGGATTTCCTTGTGATTTCGAAGAAATTTAAATAAAATTTACATGTGTTGCGGGGAGTAGGGCAAACCACTCCTCTTAAAAATGTACACATATTGTGGAAATCCTATGATTTCTTGGCAATCATTGCGATTTTGAGGGCTGCCATGAGAATTTAAGGGATTTCGAAGATTGCCATGGAAATCAAAATGATTTTCAAGATTGCTGAAATAATCGCAATAATTTCCAAGATTGCAGGACTGCAAAATAATTATCGCAGGACTCCGGAAGGGATTGCAAAAAAAAACGTACTTGCGATTGCGCGATTGTCACATTGATTTCAAACGATTTCGGAGGCTGCGACGAGAAATTTAGACACGCCCCTATGACCGCATTCACAAGATTTCCGCGACTGCGAACACGATTTTTGCAACTGCGAACATGATTTCCGCGATTGCGAATGTGATTTCTGCGAATGCGAAGAAGAATGCGGGATTTCGGGCTATTTTGGCGACTGTCTAACGGAGAATGCAGGATTTCCTTGTGATTTCGAAGAAATTTTAATAAATCGTACATGTTTTGCGGGGAGTGGTTTACCCCTTGTAATTACCCCTAACTAAATATTTAGTATATCCCCAACACCTAACATTAACATAATTTCATGCAAAACAATTGAAAAAACAATCACTTTACTGCCTATGTAGAACTAGCTGCCTCGTGTCGCTCGGCTAGTTGAAAAGAATTGATTTAAATTACAACCAACACAATCCATAATTTTCAAAAAGAAATACACACTCAGAAACCACTTACTGATGTCAGATTGATCAAAAAACCGTCCCAGAATGGTTTTGGAACCACTCTGTATATGAATTTCGGTTTCTACACAAAAATTTTAGGTTTTGCGCAGAATCCTGACGGTAATATTACGGTTTCCTGCTGGGTTGGAACAAAGCTTATGACTTTATGTAGGAATTGTTGCTATAACATTTTTTATGATAGGTATCTTGAATTGTGAACATCTCTTTTCTGAGCTTGACCTCTATCTCTAACAGTGAAGAATCTCTTAACGGGCTAGCCCGTAAATCGAACTGATGCAAACTAACCCAAATTAACCTGTCCTCGTAATGCCTGCTCGTCCTCGAAATTATATCAATGTTAGGTGTTGGGGATATATTGAATATTTAGTTAGGGGTAGTAATTTAATAAATCCCAACGTTTCTTTTATGTAAACGTATTTTTTTAAGAATTATAAATCATCTGCGCCAAATTATTTTAGTAGAAATTATCTATTTAGACACTAATTAATTCATATTTTACAAAGTTTAGTCCAAATTGAGTGTTGGGGATATACTAAACAATTACCAAAATCAAAGTTAAAAGACTTTGAAACTTTGCAACTGAGAAACTGTTAGGTACATTGCAAAAATTCAAGCCTAATTAATTACATTAGGATTTGATTGAAATTAGCAAAGTTATGAGGCAAATTGTGTGCCTTTATTCCTAGCCTTTACCTACCTACATTATAAAAATAACATTATGCAATACTTAAATGTAAAATACAAAGTAAAATAAGGTTCTAATTTCAAGGTCCATGAATTTCATATTAATTCAAACAAAAGGGGGCAATTCAAGGGGCAATTTTAATTTGAACTGGCCATTTTTTTTTGAAAAAAATCTCATTTAAAAACCAAAGCCAGTTGTTTGTATATTTATAATTTTGGCTGTGACTTTGTTGATTTTGCCTATACTTACTGAAGGCCACTGACAAGGTTATCCTGGGGCAGAATGATTTCCAGGACATTGAATAAGAATTCTAGCTTTTTTTAAGACACTCACCTATTCCAGCAAATTCATCAGGAGTTCGTCCACCAGCCATAAGCCATTTACACCAATCTATAGTTTCCCAGTCTATAGGTTTGATTGGATTCAATAGGATATCCAAAACTTCTTTCAGGTGTTGGGGATTCCGATCAGCTGCACAGTCGGCATGGATGTAGGCCGCTGTGGCCCTCCTGCCCTTGGACATGAGGACTTTCGCCTCGAAATTTGAAGTTGAAGCCATTTTTTTTGGCTGGTTGTTAGATTGTCATTATCCACCAAAACAACACTTGTTCAACTCAAACAAACACTTTATTTTTTTCAACCTACACAACACAATCCGTATTAATATAAACAAACCCCTACAATTTATAAGATACAAACTGTGGAATTTAATTGAAAATTGAACCAGGAAATTGATCTAAAACTGGAACTCGTATTAAAACTATTCTCACTCGAACCTCGAACCACACCACGATTGCCCGTCTCTTTTCTTTTGGCCACTACTGAGTTGAGTTCAGCCTCTCAAGCCTCAAGTCATAGAACTTTAGCTAAGCGAGCCAAATTGGTCTTTATTTAGTATTAACAAACGAACCTCGTATCTTTCTTGCAAGTTGAAAAACAAGTCAGCCAGTAGCAGAGTAGCAAGAGCAAGCAAAGGCAGGCAAGCGAAACAGGAAGAATGTTATTTGAGAGTGGCTATTGACCGTTGACGTAGTTATAAATGTATGTAATGTAAATTTAAATTTGGTATAAGTAGTAAAAGACGTAAAAGTAAAGGCAACAAGACTATATTTTTTTTATACCAATTCTCATTGAAAATATTAATATCAGGTGCTAAATTTGTAAAGTAGTTCAGTTAAACACAATAATCTTAAGAACTTTTCGCGGTTTTAAAAGTCACCGCTGACAGTAGAATACGCGGAACGATAGCCACTACCACTAATCGTGCCGTGGCCGCGTTCGAGAACCTGGGGTACGGAATAAAAATCGAAAAACCACACCATGCACCATTGCTGTTCAAATTGTTTTGGGCCGATCTCATCAGAAAACTGGTACGACACTTTTTGCTCTCAGTGCAATCAGTTTCGCAAGAGCTAGTGAAGGTCGTGCGGCGTGCGGCACAAGCTGTGACACGTATGGCACTACAGTGGCTAAATAAACCTTTATACAGTGGCGACAATAGAGGTCCCGCCGCCATCTTGTTCCCAACCTCTTGTTACTTTTAAATATAGGATTTAAATGGAAATCTATCATAAAAAATTGATATCGACGTATTTGATAACCATTATTAGGTCCATCAAATACGTTGTTTTCCATGATTTATGATGGATGTTCACCTAAATCCCATATATTCCTATTCAAAAGTAACAAGAGGTTGGGAACAAGATGGCGGTGTTTTCAATATAAATATATGGGATTTTAGAACCAATCAAAAATAAGACAGCAATTGTCGCCACTGTGGTAATAGAGTCACTGTATATGGCACTAGTTCAATATGACATGGTCGCGTTCATCAGGACATTCTTGATCAGGAAGCGATAATTCAAGTGATCCTTGATAGTTGATTCTGGCGAACGATAACTTTGCCACATGCTCACTGAAGACTATGCATGAATTCGAGATTCATCATACGCGATTCTTCCAGTAGTTCCAGATCGTTGTACTTCGTAGCAATTCACAAAACAAAGCCTATACAGACTACAAACTATGCACTTTTTCACGATACGTGATGCACGGTGCGTGATTTCAGATTTCATGTTCGCATTCAGTTGGCGGAAAGTGAGCAAAGAGCTGCCTATGACTACAGTGGCTAAATAAACCTTTACATACAGTGGCGACAATAGAGTTCCCGCCGCCATCTTGTTCCCAACCTCTTGTTACTTTCAAATATTAATATATAAGATTTAAATAGACATCTATCATAAAAAATTAAAATCGGCATATTTGATGACCATTATTAGGTTCATCAAATACGTTGTTTTCCATGTTTTATGATGGATGTTCACCTAAATCCTATATATTCATATTTAAAAGTAACAAGAGGTTGGGAACAAGATGGCGGCATTTTCAATATAAACATATGGGATTTTTGAACCAATCAAAAATGAGACCGCAATTGTCGCCACTGTGGTAATAAAGTCACTGTACCTATGACGGAAGACCCCAGAGTCCACCATATGGATGAATTAACTATGAACACGAACACAATCCGAATTTTGGCCAATAAGCGGTTCGTGTTCCTTGCTTTATTTGATCGAACTGTAAACCGTAACCGTAACCGTAACCTTAACCCTTTTCACGTGGTTCCATCACGTTACTTGGGCCGAATTTATAGTCGCTCCTTGAGGTTTCCTTGGACCTTAAGGAAGCCTTGAACGTTTAGAATAGGGAATTTTCATATTTCTCAAATTATTTTTTTTTAGATACTTCTAGTCATCAGTTATAACATAATTTTCTTTTTTTCCATTTTAATTTATTCGTTGTACGAAAAAAAAATTATTGAAATTCAAATGAAATACGAGAAAACACGAAATTTCAATTTGACAGCGCTTGTGACGTTGAGATTTTGTAAACATAAAATACGGAGCAAACGAACTCTTGCTGACGCAGTGCTATTTTTGTGTTATTCAAGTGTGTTAAAGTTTGCTTTTTGTGAAAATTGTCGCAATGGATGAAGAATATTGTGAAGGACTGCTTTTGTATTTTTTTACGTGCAAATTCCCTATCACAGATTTCCCTATTGACGGGTTGGTTTACAGAATCGTGACGTCAAAACAGGTATTCATCATAGGAGAATTTTTTTGGCGGGAAAATTTTTATCTCAAATTTAATATTATTTTTTGTGTAACAAGGGCGGTATCAGTTAAATAAAAACTGGTCATATGAATATTGTGCAGCATAAACTATCGATTTAAAACAAATTTGGAAAATTTTACTTCACTTGCAAGTTCCCTATTGACATGACTAACTTGTCAAATAGTACCAAGTGTCCATTCTAAACTCACGACCTTTAAGGCAGACTCAAGGAATGTAACCGGGTTAGAAAACGGTATGTCGGAACTCTTGGTTTGTGTCAATGTTCGGCGCTTGTCAAGAATACGCATTCCCCTTTGCTTTGCGCTTAGGGTGGGTATTATAAAACTACTTTGAGAGTTAACTTAAAGTTAACTTCTGGAATTACATGTAATTCAAAAAGTTAACTTCAAGTTAACTGTCAAAGCAGTTTTATAATACCCGCCCTTAGTCCTTCTTAGGGCCCCTCTCGAGGCCGGGCCTTTGTGCTTCGCACACCGCACACCGGTAGGCATCTAAACATTCCGGTATAGGATTCAGCACCTAGGCATATTTCATTGGTCCGTTTGAATCCGGACCGCCAATTAATGCGGAGTGCCGAAATCCGTACTCGAATGTTGAACGGTGCTGAGCCTCAGGTCAGAATGGTCCATTAGCAACAGCCATGTGGAGTGCCGAATCTAAGGTCAAAATGTTAAACAGTGCTGAGTATCAGGTCCGAATGTTGCCATGCGTTTGGCGCGGTTTTCATATTAAATCAGCTGTCCATCTCCTTCGTGTTCCTCTTATTTCGCCGTTGCTTCATGTGTTCTTGTGCTTAAACATGCAAGATGAGTTTGCCTAGATCATTTAAACACTTTCAGAGTGGTGAGCAAATTTACCGAGCCAACATTTTGGAGGAAAACGATATAAAGTAATGGATAGAAGAGTATAGTGATATAACATACACGAATTGGAATGTGAAGTCAGCGAAGAATTATTATAACAGATTCAAATGCAGGTTTGTGTTCAATGTCAATTCAATGACGTAGAATCTTCTTGGATGCGAATAGACTTTGGAAAATACATTTTTTAGATATGTTTTTGTATGCCATCATAGTGCTTATAAAAAAGTGGATCAAAGAAATAATAAGCAAGGAAAATCCAAAAACTGCTGTTGCCTGGCTTCAATTGATATTTTAATTAAACTAAGCACCACAGAAACAAAAAAAAAGATAGATAAATTAGGGTGTTTATTTTCAAAATTTTCTATTCTTATTTGCCAGGATTCAGGTTTTTATAATCCCCCCCCTGGATCCGCCACTGCAAATTATTGTCCAAGATTTTTTGAAATGTATCGTTGAAATAAAATAGATGTGTAACAAAAAGTAAATAAAGTTTGTTTGTTGATTTTGTGCCGCGCTAACGGAGTAACATTCCAACCTGCAGCTGGGCACTGTTTAAAATTTTGACCTTTGATTCGGCACTCCACATAGTATATGTATATACCATTCCGACCTGAGGCTCAGCACCGTTCAACATTCGAGTACGGATTTCGGCACTCCGCATTAATTGGCGGTCCGAATTCAAACGGACCAATGAAATATGCCTAGGTGCTGAATCCTATACCGGAATGTTTAGATCCCACCGGCAGATACGCCACTCTAGATGACGTCATAAATGTTATCAGGGAACCTAACATTGCCTAAACCTTGCCATCTACCATTCATTACGTATGCTCATGCAGTCCAAAGCCTTTTCATTTAAACCTATTTTTCTTGCTCCAAGCAGAACTAGATAGCTTTAGAGTAGAATAAGAGTGGAGGAAGGAAAATAATTTCTCGGAGATAATATCATAAGTGCTTCTAATTTATCCGGAAAAAATTGGAAAAAACGATTAACAATCGCCACACACAGTAGGTCTGTTTCTGCAGAAATCACAAACCAGTCAGAGTGAATTTCATTGGTTGAAACTAGTTTTCTGACTGTTTTCAACCAATGAAATTCGCTCTGACTGGTTCGTGATTTCTGCAAGAAACAGACCAAAGGCGTTTTCTCGCGGGACGAATGGTTCAAACAACGGTTTAAACCAAGTTGTAGATGACGTCAGCATTTGTGAACGCGAGAAAATGGAAGGTTGGAACCACAGTCTTATATCAATGAAAAACAAGCCATGAGTTCGGTTCGAACTTTTTTGAACCAGGTTCAATGTGACGTCACTGGTTCAACGTAAGAATGTACAGGTTCGAACCCAATGAACCGGATCGAACCAGTTCCACCGCGAGAAAACAGCTCAAAGTGTCAAAGTGTCAAAATTGTTGACACTTTTGTACCATTCCGAACCACTGATCTCAAAAATAAATGGATAAACAAAGAACGCTTCTAATGCTGCTAATTTACGAGGTCATAATCTAAACAAAAACAACTGACTGGGACAGCTGTGAGCGTGCGCAGTAGATACATGTACTTTGCGTGCACAAAATCTGGCCAATGAAAATGAAGGAATTTCAAAATTTAGAACAATTTGACCTTTTGTTTGGACGCCATATTGCGGTGCGCCAACATAGTTGCCAAAAGAAGAAAAAAAAAACACTAGGGTACTGTCTACATTGAAAACAAAAATTACTGAATAAATTACATTTAAAATTTAAATTTGCCGCCTATTACGAATGTTTTTGAAAAGAAAAGCTATCAATTTTAACTTGTATTGGACAGAATAGAAATAATAAAATATCTAACCTATTCACTTTACCAAATTTCGGTTTCCTTTCTCAAGCCTAGAACTCATAAGCCTGCCATACGTCCCGTATTATACGGGACAGTCCCTTATTTCAAGGTCCATGTCCCGCGTCCCCAAATTTGTTGTCGGGACGCGTAAATGTCCCGT